TGAGATCCTTCCAATCTCAATTCAACCAGATTTTCTTTTTAACGTGGTCGTGTTTTCATCTCACCTCGGACCGTTTATGAGAAACTCTTTGGGTAGCAATTTTTAAGGTTGAAAGTCTACAGAGCTGCAGAAATCGGCGACAGTCTAGCAAAATTGAGTGGAGTTTGTGTTAAGTGTAACGGTGTTTCCAAAGTGCTTTGCTACATCCAGAATAACTGAAATCTTAGACAAAAAAGATTTTGATCTTATCATTATCTTTCAGTTTAAATATCTGAAATACTATTCACAAATATTATCTATATTTTTAAGCACGAAGCCATTTTAACGCTTTGAAACCAGCTAATTTACATATGTAGAACTGTATCTTAGTTAGTCTCAGAGACGATAGAGACTTTGCGAGAAGCAGAATTTTATTTCATCTATTGTGCTCAGTGAGTTATCCGCTCACTACTTCTCCCTCTCTCACATAAATCAATTACAAACATACCTACTTAAAGTGTGTATGTAAAAAAAATCTCCATTAATGCTCGCCTACGTTGATAATTTCTCAACTCTTCTAAAGAGATTTCCAAGCTTTTGCATTTGCACATAAATCAATTCTAAAATGATAATATTTTTCAGTTATACATCTCAGCGCTCCGCTCTTTACTACGTGTGTCGAAGATACGCCAGCCAATTCGCTCCGATCGTAAAATTCTATTTTTTTTTTGCCTCGTTAACCTACACGCTATGAAAAGCTCCATCTCTGGCGTCATGCGTTTGCGTTGACAACTAAACACTACATTTCTTCATATATACATATACATATATGTATGTATTTAAATGATACATATATTTACAGCTGCGCCTTTGTAATTATTTTTTTATATACGTTTTCTACTGCCGTTCCTACCACTGCAAGCAAATATACACATACAAACTATATATACAAATATGCAGAATACGCTGCGTCGTCTCACTTCGCCTTCGTTTATCTGGCCATTCAGCACGCGTCACTGCAGCACGAAGCTTTGTTATTTGTAATTGAGCTGAGTAGCTGAGCGCACCGTGTTGTGCTGTGAAGTGAGTGTGAGTGTGAATGTGTTTGTTTTAGTAAGCGAGTGACGGAGTGGAGGTGTTCTGTGTGTGTCGGCTACACGTGCTTAGAACAACTAGAGCTCCCAGACAATGGGCTTTAGGTCATATCGAAATCCACGTGACTTGTTGCGCTAACAGCGCTGCTAATGTGTACGTCTTGCTGTTCGTTGTCTAAGCGTCGCCGTGGCGCGAACGTTGCAATGCATATGGGGTGTTTCGTGAATGAGTGAGTTTGCTCTCCTTGTCGCACGCACGGCAGCAAGCTTTGATTGTTATTATTATTGTTGTTATTTGTTTGACTATGTGCTGCTTGTTGCATTCTGTAGTTTTATGTTATTTCTTTACTGTTTCCTTTTCCTTTTTCTTTTTCCTTTTTGTTGTTTGTTATTGTCAATTAGCCGCAACTGCAGCAGTTTTGTTATCGGTTTTTTCTTTTTTATTTTTATTAACTTTTACTGTTTTTATTTTATATGCATACATACATACATAGAAATACATATATATATATATTTTTTTTTTGTTAATTTTCCACTGATAAAAAATCGAAATTCATGTTGTCGTCACTGTCAACGGCATCGGCAGCGCCTTGTTGCATTGGACTGATTCGGCGATTTTCGCCGTCCATCTCACATGCGGTCGACACGTATCCGGCTGTGATGGCCGTTTTGGCTCACGTTTGAAATGTGAGAATCGCGGAAAGAATGCCGATAAATAAAATATTGTAGTTGGAAATACTTTTTTCATGTTTTGTTATTGTTTATTTTTTTTCAAGCTGGCTTATTTCTTGGTCTTTTATCATTTTTTTCTTTGCTATAGCTTTGATAAAAACAATTTTTTATGTTACTGCCAATTTATTCACGTTGCTTTGCATTAAAGCTGATCGTATTCTACGTCATTGTTTGAATCGAATTACTATTTGTATGTGTTGTTTTTGCGACGTTAATGTCAATTTTCTTTGTATCAGTTTATTTATTGATTTGTGCAAATGCACTTCTAATACATCAGACATGGATGTATTTACCTGAATTCGTATGGAAATTGTTTTCTCACACATAATTTGTGGGAAAAGTTTAAAATAATTATTCACTTGAAATTACTGTTTATTTTCGGAGTTTTCACTGTTTCGTTTTGGGTCTTGGGGAAATTGTGGTGCAAATTTGGTAAGCGGGAATAATTTCTGTCTTTTTTTTAAATTTATTTATTCTTTATTTTGTCGTTCATTGAACGAGTTTTTATTATTTACAAACTAACATTAATAGCCACTTATTTAGGGCAATATTCTATGGGGTTCTGCTTCTATACGTTGTGATAATATTCAATTCATTGTTCAATTAAAATTGTTGTTAAGCTATTTTGAATTGAAAACCGATTCAAATCAAAGTTTTTAAAGGGAAATTTTTTTTTGTTCAAGAGAAAAATCGTTGAACCGCTTTTCCTGAGAACAGCACATCTCATAAACCAGGCATACTTAAAAAAATTTTTTTTATTTTATTTTTTTTAATTAAAAAAAAATATATTTTTATTGTTTTATATTTTTTTTTTATTTTTTATTTAGTTTTTATTTTTTATTTAATTTGTTTTTGATTTCTTTTTAATTTTTTTTTAATTATTTTTATTTTTTAATTTTTTTAAACTTTATCCCTGATTTAGTTGGTTGAAATTCTGTCCCCAAAAATACATAGTTTATATCTTCAAGCATTTTTATGGTCCCTAACGTGCTTAAGTTCAAGAGCATTGTCTCAGGGCTCTGTGTTTCATTGCTCTCACTTAACAAAAACCTACAATTACAGAGGACATGCCATACAAAGAGTAGAAAACATGCAAAGCGTGTTGATTACAAAAAATCTGCAAAACCTCTTGCATTAACATACCGCCTACTGAGAGTGGTTACCACTAGAAATACCTACAGTTGGTGGCACGACGAAACCATATATATGACCAAGTGACCAGGACGCTTTTTAAGTGCAAGACTGATTCTCTAAGGACTTTTGTCAAAGTTATAGGTATAAAGAAGAGAGGTAATCGGTAGCACGCTACTAGTATTTCCCAGCTTTTTGTAGCGCCCAAGCTTTATCTGCTAATCCTGCTTGCCTTGTCTTGAAATAGAAAGTTTGAGTGATTATAGATAGTAAATTTGGACTTCATGGAACGCATTAAGCGTTGAAATAACTAATAACGCGAGATGATATTAATTTAAGAAAAATAGTAATATTGTTCCAAGATCGGCAGCTGATGCGTTCTAGCAACTTCAATAACTTATTGAAAGACTTAACATTTTTTTGGTTCATTAGATCGCCTTGCTGCAATGATTTTGCGGCTTGAGCTTTATCTTTTATTCAATTTAATTTTCCATAATTTTTGGATTTTGGTCGCACCAGGATTTCAACAATGGACTTCCGAATGGCAGTAAGCAATGCTAAGCACTCGGCTACGGCGGCCGCTAAAAACCGTGGACTAATTCTTTAGATAATAAAACTAAAACATCTTTAAATTGAGCTACTATTCTTTCGTTCCAGAACGTCTCTTAGCTAAAATTGTCTCACTCTATATGTAATCGTCTCATAATGTCAACTTTTTACATATTTGCTAAGAGTCAAGTACAAATTCGTGAAAACGTCATTTTTTGGATCGAAGGATGTCAGCATTATTCTAGAAAAATAGTCATGAGCGTGTCGTTTCCTCCTACTCATGCTCCTTGCAGCTTCTGCAATATCTTCTTTACTGAGGCAACCAAAACTTTACAAAAAAAATGTAAAATTATCGACCTCAAAGCCTTAAAACCTTAGTCCTTACAGCAAAAACTCCTATCCAAGGACGATATGTCGCCGAAGCAGATTAACGCAATCCAACTCTTTCCATTGACTTCGATGCGTGTAGCCACTTCTTCGTCAACGAGTCCCAGTGGCGGGTAGGCTGTTAAGAATACCTGTAAATTCATTTTCCCAACTTCTTTTGTCCACATCCCTCAATGGTTTTTTGTCTAGTTTAAGCCGTGGCCATCAGTTGTCCTCGGTTAAGTGATGAGTGTGCGCATGAACACAGCGAAATTTGTATCAGTATACTCCTACGGCCTTCCATATGTTTTTACATATATATCTATACATATCTATATGTAGGAGCAAGCAAAAACACATGCCAAACAACCCTTAATAAGCGAATAGCGACATTGGCAATCAGCCATTCAAAGTTCGAACTGATTATGGTTGGACAGCCTCTTTAGCGTATTTCTCGGCTGCTGTTGTTGTTGTTGTTTTTGTTATAGTTCATTGGTTACTATGCATACATGGCTTTTAACAGTTATGAATTTTTCCATTTCAGCTTTATGGTGCTTGGCCTGTGTAAAGCTCATTTTGGTTGACGTCGTCATTTCCATATATACGTCCATACATACATACATGTACATACATGCATTACGCAAATGATAATAATATTATTACTATTTTTTTTCCACAACGATCAAGCAAGCAAATACACGTACATACATATATGCTTATGCTTAACTTACCCACACATACACGTACATTGTGCATTGTGCTTTTTCTATTGCAGTGGGCGCTTTCCTGCACTTTGCAATTTTTACCGCCAACCCCACCAACCCCTACCGCTTCCACTCCGTTGCTTAGCTACCCCTCTCTTAAAGGGCTCAAAGCTGTAATTATTTTTATTTCCATTATTTTTTGGTTTTTCCTTTGATTCTTATTTGTTTGTTGGAGCAATGTGGCGCTCACGTTGCCCAGACGCATGTTGGTGGCTACCGTTGCTGCTGCTGCTGCTACTGCCGCCGTCGCATGTTAGCGACTGCATGCTGTTACGTCGCTGCGTCTACGCCGGCGCTTCGCTACCAGGCTTACTTACAGCTGTTAGCTGTTTGCATTTGACGGTCGTCGCTGCTTCTGCTACTGTTGCTGGCTTGCTGGTCTGTCCGTTACCTGCTGCCTGCTGCCTGCTGCCTGCTGCCAGCTGCCTACTTTGGTGGCTATGATGAGCCTGAGCTAGTGCTAAGGCCGGCATTTGATCATATCGCGTTCGCTTTGACGAATTGACGTACGGATAGTTTGGTTGAAAAGTTTAGCGGAAAATTGCAACGCGGAAAACAAACATTTTGCTTGACAAATATAACTAAGTGCCGTCGCTAAAACATAAGTGTAACTGTAATGATCGGCCGAAGGTGTGAAAATTTTATAAAACGTGTAGTGCAGTAGTGCAATAAAAAAAAAAACGAAAAAAAAATTGAATAAGTTTTTCGAAAAAGTGTTAAAATACTGAAACAGCAAATGGACAACGCTTAAAATATGTAAAATAATTATATCAAATTTATATATATATTTCAAATAAGAAAAACTTACACACAAACACCTCAAATACAATTCAATGGAAAATATTTATAATAATGAGCTGCGCTTTAGAAAATATATTTCCAAGAATTTGTTTGAGTGGAAATTATAATCTTGGAAAAAATGCTTTGTTTTTCGAGTGAATTGCAAAAATTGTGCAAACATGAGTTTTAAATAAAAACCTTTTATACAATTAGTTGCTCTGATCTAAAAAGTTATTAGTGAAACTTTTTAAATAGAAATGAAAGAAAATTATTCTAAAATAATTAAAAAAAAAATTAACTAAAATTTGGTTGTGTAAAAAAGAGTAGAGCAATTTAAATGTATATTTTTTAAAAGAGAAAAACTGAGTTAAAAAATAAGACTTAAATAGGAGCCGTCCCGATTTCTAAAATAAAAAATGCAAAAACCTAAAATACACAAAAAGACAAATTTGTTTAAATCGTCATTTTAACACGAGTAAAAAAGTTGTTTTGGAAAAATTTTTTTTTAATTAATTAAATAATTATTAAGTTTTTTAAATATAAATTCTATAAACTAAATAGCGAATCTTGCACCTAAATTTTAACAAAATAAAAATTTAAAATAATTAAAAACAATGAAATATAATAAAACTTTAAAATAAAATAAAATAAAATTAAATTAAAATAAATAAAGTTATATAAAAAATATATAAAATTAGAAAAATTAAAGGAAAATAAAAAAGATAGGTTAAATTAAGAAAAGATATAAAAGCAAATAAAACAAAAAAAGAAAATAAGTAACACAAACTAAAATATAAACAAATAAAATAATTTTAAAATAGAAACAAATAAAATAAATTCCACCAAATTTGTGCACTAAAGATTTTTAAATCAATTAAAAAATTTCTTACATGTTAAAATATTGAACATTCTTTCAATTAAATCGAAAAATTTTAGATCTTCGATAAAGGTGGAAGAACTATTTTCTCAAAAAATGTAGAAAATACTTTTGTGTTAACGGTGGTATTTGTTATTTTTTTTTTTATAAAACAAATAGTTTAAAAATAAAAGTAATTTAAAAATGGATGAAATGAACTGAATAAAAAAAAAACCAATATAATTTTTTTACGTAATTTTATGGCGAAATGACAACGAAGATGAAGTTAATTTTATTTTTATTTTATTAATAATATTTACTTTATAAAAAAGCAAACTATAAATGTAAATATTCAAAATAAAGTGCAAATTCAAGTTTATTACAAAGGATTAAAATTTCTTTACAAACTTGTGTTAATTCAACTCTTTTTTCAACCTTCAAAAATAAAGCCAGCGATCGCTTGGGCGTAGTTAGAATACTAAAAAAAAAAAAAGAAAAAAGTAACTGGGAAATTTTCAACAATATTTTCTTCTATTATAATAACAAAAAATAATTTCAAAAACTAAAAATAATAATTTTTTTTTAATTAAATAGTGCTATTCAATGCTTGAGAAGATAAGAAATTGAAAATTTAGAGCATTTAAGTGAGCATCAAGTGAAAATTTAAAAACATATCGTGAAATGAAAGAATTCAAATAAAACTAAATTAAAACTATTTAACAAACGCAAAACTGAAAGTGATCAACCAATGCAGGAACATCGCAAACGACACCATTTAGAGAATTGAATGCAACTTGTACTTGCATATCATCCAACTCTTTAAGTTATGGATCGTATTTGAAAGACGAAAAAAGTTTCTTTCTATGTTTTGTTTTATACTGAGTGTTAAAGACATTGAAAACGGAATTTTCACTCATATACATACATACGTACATACAAAGGCAGACTAACACAAAACCTCAAATCGAATCGGAGAACATACATACAATCAATGAATCATTGTAATTACAACACTTCATCAAGTAACAAATTACAATTTCATGCATTCGACACAGAAATCATTCACAATAAACTCAAAATAAGATGAAACGTTATTTTGAATTTCATATTTGAAACACAAGTATTAACAAGGAACTTGCAACGTGACCGCAAAACGGCATCTTTCTTCACATCCTAAATACTCTACTTCCTACACTTATTACTCTCCCAACTACATGATTGTTCGCCATGCTCGCATGTGGGTGTAGGGGACATTTTTTTACTGAAGTAGAAATTTTACGATATTTAAACAACAATAAAAATATTGTAGGCATGTGATTTACTGTTTATGGTGTCTTTTATTGATTCTGTTTTCCGTAAGAAAAAAAAAAAAAAAAAATTAATTGCTTTTTATAGATTGAGGAAAACATATAGAATTTTTTATATATAATTAAAAATAAATGTATATGATGCCATTCAGTAGTTCGCTTAGAAACTAAAGCGATGTGGGGAAGAATATTTGGTGTCTCTTAGATTTAATAGTAGAATCTTGCAATGATATATTTATCATATATTCAAATAACCTCCGCTTGAAATAAGAAAATAAAATTAATTGAAATAAAATAAAATAAAATAAAATAAAATAAAATAAAATAAAATAAAATAAAATAAAATTAAAGTAAAACGAAATAAAATAAAATAAAATAAAATAAAATAAAATAAAATAAAATAAAATAAAATAAAATAAAATAAAATAAAATATACAATAAAATACAACAAAAATAAAATAAAATAAAACATAATAATAAAAAAAATTAAATTAAACCAAATTAAAATAATAAAAAAAACAAAAAAGAAAACCAAAATAAGAGGGAAAAAATTAGTAAATAATAATGAGGTAAAATAAAATTAAAAAAAACTGAAATTGAAATATGTTGCAATAAATTAGATGAAAAAAATGAAATAATATAAAATAAAATTAAACAAAATATAAATATATTATATAAAATTTAATAATAATATACCCAGAAAATTTAAGAAAAAAGGTGAAATAATAAAAATATAATAAGAGGTAAAAAATTTATGTAAAATAAGAAGTAATAAATAAAGTAAAATAAAACAATTATAAGCAAATAAAATTAAATAAAATAAAAATTTTCAACAAAATGAAAAACATACATAAAATTAAATTTAATAGAACAGAAACATAAATAATAATAATAACTTTGCGGTCACGTTGTTCTTTTATAATGTAATCATTTGGTGTATTTCACCTTGATAGCGACATAATATCACGATCAAGCGATTTTTCATTTGGGCAGTGTTCTGAGAGGTTTTTTGTTTATACATTTTCTCATAATATTTGGTTCACATAGACTTCATTGCTTTTTCTTTACTCACTTTCATCTCAAAATGTTCGAGCTAATCGAATTCAGTGGCAACACTACGGTTACCGTTTGCCATATTTTTTATCTTTCCTAATATATGAATCAAAATTATAGCACATTTTCCATATAGGACCACAAACTAGAACAAAAAAGCATTTCGGAGTGTAAAGAGCACAAAAAAAAAAATTGTTAAAAGTAAAAGAATTCGAAGTGCTAGTGAAAGTGCACAATATACTAGCGCCCAAAAACATACCTTGAAAAATGCGCGAATATCGTAGACACATACGCAACCTCAATTTCAGTCTACAACTACTGGTGCGTGCGCGTCCCATTTGTGCGCCGACTTGTGCACAACAGCAAAAAAAAGATAAATCAATTAATATAAATTAAAAGATTATAGATTTCAATAGTAAATAATTCGTGCGGTGATTTAAACATTTTCAATTTGCTGAATTGAACTCAAATCCACGCGAATTTCTCACCGACGCCGTCGGTGACGAGAACAACTATCAAGATGTCGGCGCAAACGAGCACTTGCAACGGCTTCTTTCAGGAGCATGCAAATAGTGCGTTAAATCAATATTTCCAGCAGTTGAATTCGAATGCAGCTGCAGCAGCGGTTGCTGGCATGAGCAGTAGCAATAACAGCGATAGTAGCGCCAATGAGGGAGGCAGCGGCAGCGTGACTGGGTCGTCGATGGAGGGTAATCGGAGCAGTGTTAGCAGCATTGATTCAACGAAGTCGGTAAATAGCAATGGCAGTAGTGGCAATGCTGCAACACAATGGAATAGCATGCAACAACATCAGGCGCAGCAGCAACAAGCGCAACAACAACAAGCGCAACATCAACAGCACCATCATCATCAGCAGCAACAACAACAGCAAGTACAGCAGCAGCATATGCAGCAGCATCAGCAACATAACTCACATCAGCAGCAGCAGCAGCAGCAACAAAATCATAATCATAATCAACACCAGCAACAGCAGCACCAACAACAGCAACAGCAATCCCAGCAACAGCAGTCTCATCACCAACAACATCATCAACAGCAACAGCAACAGCACACACACCAACAACAACAGCAACACCAGCAACAGCCACAACACCAACAACAGCATCAGCATTCATCAGCCGCCGCTGCCGCCGCAGCACACAACCAACTCTCCGCACTAAGCCAAACACTCTCACAAAATTTAGCCGCCGCAGCTGCCGCATCCAATGCCTCAACCAACACTAATCCACACTCCATCTTCGGTACTGGTAATTTCCATTACAAAACCAACAACTCGTGGACAATACCCACTCTGTCTTGCTATCAGCGTCTCTACAATGAGAATCAGCAACATTATCATCGACAATTCGGCAACAGCAACGGTAATGGTGGCAGTGGCGCAAGTGGTGGTGGCTCCAATGGCGGCGCAGGCTCAGGTGCTGGCGGTAATTCATCCGATCCGCAAACACTTTCAGCACAAGCGTCTGTCGGTGGTGGTGGTGGTGGTGGCAATAGCCTTGGTAGCTGTAATGCAAATTCGGCGGCAGCAGCAACGGCGGCTTCCGTACAACATGTTGCCAATGCAGTGGCGGCGGCTGTGATGGCCAATGAGCAACATCAAAGTCATTTAAATAGTTTGAAGGCGCGTTTCCAGACGTCAGGTAATGCAGGTAAATTTGGGAAAGCACCTCCTACGCTTAAGAATTCATTTATAAAATAAATTTTTTTCCTAAATATTTTTTGCTGTCACTATTTTCTTATGGAAAAATGATTTTTTATTAAAAAAAAAATGTTACATTTCCATTCATAAATATTCTTAGTGATTTAGCAAAGGCTCATCTGTGTGATATAACTCCCATCAGCTGCTTTGGAGTCTGTTCTCATCATAGATAGAGAGAGATAGAGTGGGCTCTCTCTATACCTACTCTCACTTTAATCTAATCAGTTTCTAACGATCAACCAGTTTTCGCCGATTGCAATTACTCTATCTCTCTCTCTCTGTGCATTCTAACGCCACTACCGCTGCAATTATATCTGCCACTGCTTATTCGCTGTCGCTGTCACAGCTGACTTTTTCGTTTTAATTAATCAGTATGCATGTAGTTGTAGTTACTCACCTTTTTTCCCACGTGATCGACATTTGCTAGTGCATTTGCGTTTGTAATTACACTTACACAGCCACACATGCATACATATATACTTATTTCTATATATATATTATATAGCATGTATATACTCGCATACACTTGACTAGTTTTTAGCTCATTTTCTGCGTTATTTTTAATTGATAACTATGAAATAATTCATTAATATTTTACTATGACATGGCATATGTACATACAAGTGTTATTGTGGAGTATTTATTATGTCTATTTATGTTCGGTGAGCATTATTATGATGAGATATAGCGGTATAGGTGTGAAAACGTACTCTTTCTAATACAGCCATAAAAACATATGTATTATATAAGTATAACAGAAAAAATTTCAAATCTAAGCTTATATAAGAAGAAAATTAAAAATCAAAAGAAAAATGCGAGCCATAAAAATAATAAATAAAAATAAAGTTAAATTAAAAAAAATAATACAAAAATATTAAAAAAAAATTAACTAAAATAAGTTAAAATAAAAAATATATGAAAATAAAAAATCAAAAACAAATACAAAAAAAAAATGATTAAAAATATTAGCGAAAAATGAAACAAAATTTAAAAAATTAAAAAAAAAAAATATTTTAGTATTACATACATATGTTTCGATCTCGTTTCATTTTGAAAGAGGTAAAATGCTTATTATTTTCTTTATGATAATTTAGCTTATCTCCGCGGAGAGGGTCCTAAGTAGGATCGATTTTCTACTTAAGGTTTACTGCATGAGTTTTTTTTTTATCAATTTTAATGTGTCACTAGTAATATACCTACAGAGTTACGATAAAAAATATGAATTTATTCCAAATAAAAATTTTAAAAAATTATACCACTGTTGTGCATAACAAATGAACATGAACAGTTAGTTTTAGAAATTACATGAATTTTTGTAAAAATTGTTTAAAAGTTTTCTTCATAAATGGAATTTTTAATATAAAAGTTTAGATAATTTGCCTTTATTATAAAAATATTGCAAAGCTTTTTACTTTGTTAAAAAAATTTTAATAATAATAATAAAAAGATAAAAATATAAAAGAAAATAAAAAGATGAAAATAAAATAAGAAAAATAATTAATTTAAGCCAAACAAAAAAACAAACAAGAAATTAAAAAAAAGAAAAAAAAGTAAAAAAGTAATGTGCAACGTTTCCCCAAAAATCAGTAAAAGGAAATATGGAAAGTATTAATATTTCTCAAGAGATAGTAGATATTTTGCCTCAAAAAATTAAAAAAAAATATAAATATATATACAGTCGCTTCTATGAGATTTTACAATTAATTTACTTCATAGTACGTAGCAAAATTATAAGGCTATACATACATACTTCTTAATATTCCACGAACTTCACTCACTTCCATTTACAAACAATAAAGTGAAAAATACCCAAGAAAATTGAATTTTAACGTCTCTTAAAACTTATAATGAATATTTTTAGGTAGAATACATTTCATTCTCCTGCAATTCTACAATCATTTGCAACTGTCATAATCTTATGCTACTGTTCAATGATATGCTTCAATGGATTCTAGACGAATAGAGTCAGAAGCGCAACCTGTCATGGAATTGGACACATTTAATAGGCAATTCGTCAAGGAAGTAATAGGTCGCATGTGGCCAGCGAAAAAAGTGTAAACGGAAGGATATAAGTCATTCAGAAAGTAGAGGACATGTAGAGATAAAAATGCAATAATAACAAACCAAAGAAAAAACAAAAGTAAATAGAAGTAAAATAATATTAATAATGAATGGTGATAGGGTCTTTGGCATGCTGCTGAGTTCAAATTAAAAACACATATTAAAAAATTTTAATTGATTTAATTTGGAACGACATTTCTCTTAACCGAATTTTAGTGAGAAAACTTGCAATTTGTTTTTTTGATTTTTAATTATTAATATTTTACTACTTTTTCAATTAGTATTTTTATGGTAAAAACTCTATTCAATTATGAGCTTTTAAGACAATCAAGATACCTATGTATGAGTGTATACGTATGCTAATTGGTGTATACTTTGAACATATTTAATTTAACGATTTACAAACAAGCTGTGGTAAATAAAAAAGCTGTAACACCTTCTACACTCCTTTCATTCCTACCACCAGCCTAGATATGCATGTTTGACATATAATAGTAAGCATACCCTAACCTATCGATTCCATCCCAGGCCTTATTCTTTAAGTGAAATTATGCCCAATGTTAATTTAACAAAAAACTATCACTGTATCAAATTATCATTTAAATCAAAACAAAATACTATTTTTTCGAATAGATCGACCACAGGTTCATTTCCCGGAAAAATAAGTCTTACAAATTTATTGCCAAAAAATTAAAAATATATAAACAACACAATTAAAATTTCCCATTGTAAATAAAAGTTTATTTTTTTACTAATAAAACTTTATTTTTAGCATGAAACATTTATTTTTTTTTAATGGTTATTATTATTTTCACATTTTCAAAGTTCGGAATCATTTTTTTAAATTTTTTTTATATTTAAATTTCAGTTAAAATTGTTTTCTTGAAATCTGTTGATTTTAATTTATTGTTTATTTTATTAAACATGAAAAAAAATTTATGGAAAATATATTTTTTTTTTGAAATTTTTAGACTCCAAGCCTCGCTCTCGAATGCATTTATTTATTAATATATTCATATTCACTTTGATTTGAGGTAGAATCATTTCTAAGCGTTGCAATTCTTTAGAGCTGTGCAAAATAATAATATTCCGTGGGACAGACATAACGTCATGCCCATTCACAAAACATTATGAGTTCCCAAAGAGGTGACCATAACTATACAGACATACATACGAGTATGTACATACATACACGTATTACAACGACTGTGTTGTTCTGTCGTGCCTTTTCTTCTTCTTTTTCCACCTTTGTATTTTGTCAATGCAAATGCATTTTTGGCAAAAGCGCGCGAATGCATTGACCAGCAAAAGCCGCGGCGCCACCTGAGCTGACCAAAGCAACGAAAAAAGCAAAAAAAAAAAAACAAAAAAACATGTTTATAAATAGCATGTGGCGGTACAATATCGTGTGCCATGCATGTTATCGATTGCTTTGGACTCCATATGCTTTTTTTGTATTTTTTTTTTAATTTTTTTTTCTTTTCTACTTCATTTTTGTGTTAGCATAATTTGTTTTTTTTTTGTTTTGTTTAGCGGTTGATGTACATATGATAAATGCATCAATGTGATTAGTTACTTTTGAAAATGAAATTCTGTGAATGCACAATATTTTGCTATTGACAATTTTTTATTAGCTTATTGAATAGTTTATAACCGAATTATGTTTGTGAGTTTATAAAAAAAAAATTTTCGGGAATTTCTAAAACAATTTTTGTTTTGATTAATAAGATTGGTGATTGAGATAAATAAACAAAAAGATTAATATAATTTTCCTTGTATCAAAGTAAAAAAGTGAATAAAAAATGTATGCCTTAGACAGCTGCACGTATGGAAGACGAAAGCTTTAATTACAATAACAACAATAACAATAACAGAAAGCTGAAAACTAACTGAAAACACGGCAGCATTAAAATAATGAAAAAAGGTACTGCATTTGGAGTTCTGAATATATTTATGAACTTTTAAGAGTGAGAGAATGCGAAGGCGAAGGCTGTAAAATGAAGTGAAAGAGTATACGTAAAAAAGCTTAAGTAAACTTCAAGCCCGCATTGGTAACATTGGTTGGTATCGCAAAATTTGTTACCGTTAAAGCGATTCTTGGTCGAGCTCCTCCTCCAATTTCTAGTCTGCCTGTGAAGGATTTTTGCAATAAATGCAGAAATCTATAGCTCATCTTAAGCCGCTTCCGAAAAGCCGATGGATTTTTAAAACGAGCTTTCCGACACACCCTGCCGAGTGTCGACCGCCTTTAAAAAATATTATTTTTTTTTTTATAATTTATGATTCTGGTCGGACCAGAATTCGAAGCCTGACCTTTCAATTGACAGTACGCCATGAAAATTCACTTAAGCTTAGCTGATTTGTGGAAGAACCAATATGTTTTAAGAACATAAAAGATTTACAACTTTCTCGACTTATTTTAATAAGTCTGTCAGGCAAAACTATAATTAAATCTTAAGACCTTCAATATCTGCAAACGCCTCCTAGAACATTTGTCTGAGTTTGGTTAAGCTGTCTGAATCAAGACTCGTAGTACGAAGCCCAAGCTAAGGAGAAGTCCAAAATATTATGTAGATTTTTAGAAAGAAGACAAGAAAGGAACAGTCAAATCACACTACGATCTGTCTGTCAATCGACTACAGACCGAACACACGCAGAGGTAATGCCCCAGTGTTATATCGTCTTCTGCGAAAGCTTACATACCAAGCTGTCATACCAAGCTTATGAAATATGAAATGAGAGATGTGGTTTACTTCGTATTCGAACCAACCGGTTTGTAACGATTAAGTGATCTTTACGGGACTTACGGCATTTGTGTTAAGTCCCCCATTGGGTTGGCAGGCCCCTTTAAGGCGAATTAGCCTTGCTGCAGGAGGTCAAAATTCGTAG